TTTTTGAATTTCAGATAATCATATATTTCATTTTCTCAAAAGAAGATACATCAGTATTTTACATATTGGAAGTTAAATTAATAATAAGCTATGACTATGAGGATTTAAATCAGAAGTCATTATATTTGAGTACGATATATAAATGTTATTACATTTAGATTTATTTTGCAGTTCAGGTCTTTAGTTTGGAATGGCCCTATGAAATTATCATCAACAATATTTACTAATCACTGTAGTCCTGAATTTACAATTTAATGAGCACTTTTTATATATTAAAATATTACTTGGTATCATGTTATAATAGTGCAGATCTGCTTCTACCGTTCAAGAGGCTCATTACAAAAGAATTAGGTTTATAAGTTATAAACTTTATAATAGCCTGTGATGTAATATATATCCTTTTTTTTTTTTTCCGGAACCAGGGATTGAACTCAGACCCTTGCACTTGCTAGGGAAGCTCTTATTCTACTGAGCCATCTCCCCTGCCCCCATATATATACTTTTAAAACAAAGGCATGAAAACTGAGGAGTTAGCTCAGTACGGGCACTTGGCTAGCAGGTGAAAGGCTAAGGGTCTGTACCATTGCAAAACTACATAGCCAAAAACAAACCACCACCAGCTACTACAACAACAGCAAAGCATGAGGAAGATCCTTCATCTCTTAACTTTAAAAACAATTTTCATATGTTAAATGACTGCTATAAGTTCCATGTTTTTCCACTTTCGCAATGTTTACATTGGTTTATTATGAAATAATACATGTACAGCAACTACCAAAAGAGATGGTCTGCCTCATTATTTTTCCCTGTACTTTTCACTGTTCTACATCAGTATAGAATCAGTGTGTTAATTATAGCCATTAAAAAATCCAAAACCCTGAGCAATGTGGACAAGAGGAAACTGACATCTCTCTTTCACAAATGAACTGCCAGCTGTGGCCATCACTCAGGCAGGAAACATCACTCAGGGAGGAATTCAACAAGTGGGCCAAAGGGAGACTCAAGTGTTCAAACAGGAAGCACCATGGAATCTGCTTTTGGCTGCAGAGGCCACTAGTGTAAAGTTCCAGAGATCCGGGGGTAGACAGAACCAGTTCATTTTAATCTGAATCATGACATTTAGTGCCCAATGAGATCTACAACCCATTGATCAACCTACTGGGTGATAATTTCTTTCGTAAGCCTGTAACTCAAATGTTTTGGCTCCATTAGACTATGCCTAAAAATAAAAGTAACATTTCCGTTCAATTATGTAATTATGGAAATTACAGTGGAGAAAACACCAAACTAATTTCTAGAAATCAGCCACTAACATGTTCCCAGGGGAAATCTGAGGGACTTCCAGGGGTGCTCTCTTGAGTACTCTTAGACGTTATCCCATGCTCTCTAAATTAGCATATTGCTGTTTTGGCTTCTCTGTATGCCCCTGGTCTCCTCTCTTCTGTGAGGAGCACAGACACAGGGCATCTGTCTTTTGTTGTACCACTGAAAACATGAGAACAGGCTTTGCTCTTGGCTCCTTTTAGCACAGCTTAGATTTGGCTTGTACCATTTATCAGCACTTTACTACAGATTCCCAGCAAGAAAAGAGAAACAGGACACTGATAGGCAAGAGCTGGAGTGGTGCTGTGCGCCTTTAATTCCAGCTAGTCAGGAGGCTGAGGCAGGAGAATTGCAGATTCAAAGCTAGCCTGGGCAATTTACGAAGACTGTCTCAGAATGACTTTTAAAAAATATTCAAGGAAGACACTCCTTCTTCACTCATAGCCTCCCTTCTCTGCTTTCTATGAGTACTTATTGCATGCCTACTGTGAGCTAGGTACTGGTAAGAAAAAAAGGCTTGATCACTGCTCATGAATGATATATACAAGTGGAAGAGACAGGTATCAACCAAATAATCACACAAATAAAAATAATTATAAATTGGGGGACAGCTTGCTTGGACCCCCTTTCTATCCCTTTCTCAGACAGAAGCTTTCTTTCCCCCAGTAAATATATTCTGCTCTTAAAAAAATTATAAATTGATTTATGCTTTGGAGAGAAAGTAGAGCATACTGGATAAAGAGACACTTACTTAGTTCTGGAAGTAAGGACCAGAGTTCCTGGAAAGATGACAGGGGAGCCGAAAGCCAAAGCATTAATGGGGATTCAGAGGCTCAGGGGGATGGACAGAGACAGACAGTGGTGAAGGACAAAGTGTAAAAAAAAAGAGCAACAGCCCACAAAATGTGTACGTGAATGTTCAAGGCAGCGTTATTCACAATAGCCAAAAAGTAGAAATATTCCAAATGTCTATCAACAGATAAAATGATCAATAAAATATGCTATATGCATAGAATACAATCATTCCAATGGCAATAAAATGAGGTGCTGAAACAAGCTATAACATGGGCCCTGTAAACATCATGTAAATGAAGAGAAACACCAAAGAGCATATGTTTACTCCATTTTTGTGCGATATTAAATGTCCAGAATAGGCAAATTTATAGAGACATAAAGTTGGCTGGAGATAAGGTAAAGAATTGACTGATAATGGGTAGAACTTTTTTTTAGAAAAGATGAAACTGTTCTAAAAATTAATTTTGATGATGGTTGTACACCCCTGTAAATATTTTTTAAACACAGTGAATTGTCTGCAAATGAATTATACTACAATAAAACCTTACTTTTTAGTTTTTAAATGTGTTTGGTACAGGGTGTCACTATGCAGCCCGGACTCCTAGTGATCCTCCTGTTTTCAGCCTTCCCAGTGCTGGGATTACAGGAGTGTGCAGCTATACTGGATCTCTCTGTGGCTGGCTCATTGCCTGGGGGCGCAGCCTGCATGACATGTGGTGCCAGAGATTGAACCTCAGTTCCTGCACTTGTCTAAGCAGACGCTTAGTTCGCTGAGCTGTCTCACTGGTCCATAAAACTGTTAATATAATTTTAACTGTTAAAAGTAATTTTAAGCAGAATCCCAGAACTAGAGACACTGTAGAACTGGGTCTCAATCTTAAATTTTTCTCACTTCATATTTACTGTACTTGAAGTAACTATAGCTAGCTCAAGAAACTACAATCCTTTCTTTTAGGGTGAGCTGAGATTTATGGTTCTATTAGTACATGTAAGAACGGTAGAGTTGAGCCCACTGTTCATCTGAATTAGCAATACCAAGCAGCTGTTTCAGTTAATCATAATGAGAGCTGTGAACATTTTTTTTAAAAGTGCTCAATTAGTATTTTTTGACAGTCTTGTTAAAATGTCTTTCCCTTTGTCACACTTATTATTTTAAAAGTAATCTTATTTCTTGACACCTTGCTTTAACATTAAGCTTAAATTTTATTTTCTATCTGGTTCTTAAATTTTAGGAACATGCGAATCATTATTTATTAGATACTACATAGGTTCAAAATAGCTTCAGAGAAAAGGAATATGAGGTTGAGCAGGTGGCGATGCTTCCGTTTCTATACTCTGGGAAGGTCAGTGTTTCTTAGGAAAGTATTCTTGGTATCTGTATTAATCAGTTTCATAGTTCCTCCGCTGGCGTGTGTCCAATGTCATTTGGCTTGTGCTGTGGATACTGTTAGGCTTTCATAAAGGTTCGTTTCATGTCCCCTGCCAGCTTCCGTCCTACTGCTGTGTGCATGCCAAAGTGTAATTCAAGCTTAACTACCCTGAATGTGGGCTAAATTGCCTTGTTTTATGTATGAGGAAGTGGAGACTCAGGGATGATCCGAACCTTGATTTGGTTGTGTTGCTAGTCAATGAGAACGCTTCAAGTTGAAAGTCAAGTCTCCTGATTTGAGTTTTAGTGAAATTCCCTCTTCATTTTCCAGCCTTCAGCTTCAAGTTTTTTTCAAATCTTATACTAAAGGAATAAATCTCTAAAGAAAAAAAATCATTCTTATTCCTTTTTGTCTTAGAACTGCTTTTATAAGAGATATCCACTCATCTGTGTAGTGTAAATGGAGGAAAGTAATCAAAGGTGAGCCCTTTCTTTCTCAAATAACAAAGTCCCCATTTACTTCTCCTATTACATAGCAGAATTTACGTTTTTAACAAAAGTCATCCAACAATACTAGGGCTCTGACAATGGATCAGGGTCATTGGTTGATTAAGTGTTTCATTATTCTTTCTCAACTGTAATACAAATCATCTAAGCTGTTTTGGCCTTTTAAAATCGAGTTTCTGTTGGGCCAATCTTTTAAAACAAAGTTACTTATTACAATTTATTTTCATATGACTTAGCAATGACAAATTTCTTTTTTTCTCTATAATTCTCTAGAGTCTAAACCACAGTATGTTTTCACTGCCCAATTGACAGCCTGTATTAGTTCATTAAGTATGTACAAGTACAACAAAAATTTGTTGAAGTGAACTTAATTCATAGAGGATATACCTAAAATTGTCTTTCTTATCTGTCGGATATTTCCACCTTGAGCAACGGGTACCCTACAAGTTAACTGGAAGTAATCTACTAGCTTAGTAATAGGATGAGCTTGTTTAGGATGAGAATCGTGGCCTGACTCTCAAGGGCCGAATCGGGCTGATGGCCTGATGCGCAGGGAGTGGTCATCTCCAGAGATGCTGAGAAGGGGCGGAGCCATCCCAAGGATGGACCCTACATGGGCGGCCAGATCCACCCGGGATGCAGCTGTGGCAAACAGCGCCGGGCTTCAGAGAAACGCAAAGGTAGCCTTGTAGCAGGAGAGCCTCACTGGCTGCAGACGGTAAGCCTAGGAGTTCGAAGGGAAGCAGCAAAGGCCTTATATTAAACCTGCGGAGGAAGCTGAGGCCCAGGAAGGGGGGGGGGTGCCAATGTTTCCAAGGCAACGGACCAGGAAGCGCGCAAGACGTCCGCCGCAGGTTCGTAGGTCAGCTTCGAGTTTTGAGCTCCCACTGCTGAGCAGGTTCTGACCAATGGAGAGGCCCCCTCAGTGTCATGGGACCTGCACGTTGTCTTGGGACACGTGGGAAGGCTTTTTTTCCAGTCCCCTCTTTCCCTTCTAAGAACCCGCCTACTTTTGCGCGGGCTGGACCAGGGAGTTGTTCTCGCGAGAGTTGTGCGTGCTCTCACGAGAGTGAGTGGGAGGCGTGGGGAGCAGCAGCACTGCGGGCCGGCGCTGCGGCGGAAGCGGACGGGGTGGGCAGGGCGGGGGCGGGCCGCAGGGCCGGGAGGGGCAGGGCCGGGTGGTGCGGGAGGGGGCGTCCGCTTGCTCGCACCTCTCGCGCCTCTGGTCGTTGCGGGCGAGTGGCGAGTCAGTGACATGCGTGTGAGCTTCAGAGGCTGCGGCCGCCAGGTGAGCGGAGCGAGCGGCCCCTCGGCGCTTGGCGGGGTTGTGGGGCTGCGATGGATGTCGCGGCGGGCTCGGCAGCCCCGCCACCCTGCCAGCCGCGCAGCCTGTTCGGGCTTCGGCCGCCCGGGGTGGGCGGGGGCAGGAGGATGCGCCGGGGAGGAAGCCCGAGGCGCCGGGGCCGGAGGAGAGGGCGTCCTGGGGTCTGGAGAACCGCGGCGGAACTCTTCCCCTCGGCGTGACAGACGGCGTTTCCGCCTCCGCGGTGGTCTTCGGACCCGGCCCTCGGTGCGTGATGGTGGCTGCGCTTGTTTGTGGCAGCAGTGGGCTCGAGAAGCCCGTGCAGGAAGAGGAAGACATTGCACTTTGTCCCCAGACTGCATCTTTCACTTGTCAGAACCTCTGAGCCCAGGGACCAACCGCTTCTCAAATCTTGTGACAGAAATCGAAGGTGTCAAGTGGCCCTTTAGGATATTGATACTTGCTTTTACTGTGACATTCTTTGCTAGGCCGTTAATGGCCTAAACGCAGGGGCCAGTTAGTATTCCAAATGGATTGGGAATAGCTCTGTTATCTCAGGCATGTAAACTGCTGTATGAAAAAAAGTGTAGGTGTAATTGAAGCAGTAAAAAAGGAAAGGCAAATGACACTGACAGTGAAATATAAATCATCACAGTGGTGTGAGTGTTCAGTTATTTTCCTCTGCTTTCTGTCTCTACAACCGTATTCACTGTAGATGTTTTAACGTAAGACATTCAGGCATTTTGTGGTGAGGAATATTGCTGAGATACATAGCTTTAGTGTATAGTGGAGTAAATAATTGCAGTTCCATTCTTAGTTTTGTAATTATTCAGTCACTTTTATGTATGCTTACATTTTCACAAGCTTCTTCCCATGTTATATGGAGTGTTACTTTAATACTGGATTTATGTGAAAAAATACACAACAAATTTAGGGTATTGGGAGAAAATGCAGTACTTCATCATGCATGGATCATTTGTTTTAATGCCTTGTGTTTTATTTTAGAGTAAATGACAGTCCAGCATATGGCGTAAATGACAGTCCAGCATATGGCGTAATTGGTGACCCTTAAAATGATTGGTGACCTTTAAACACATTTATTAATATTTTTCAAGTAGTTTTGGTTATCCATACATTTTTATGTTCCCTCAGGCAAAACTGTGACCCAAGGGTTGGCAATGACTATCACAGTTATTTGTTGCTGTAACAATAACTTACGAGATATCAAAGATTATAAGGGAATCAGGGAAGAAGTAGGTTCCCAAGCTGATCTAGTGATTACTTTCCCACAAAACTGCATTATTTGATAAGATTAATAAAGACTTTCAGTGTACTCCTGGGCCAGTGATATTTCTCTGAAGAAATTGAATATTGAAGATACTGATGGTATTGAAAATACAGGAGAATCACAGTAAAAAATTGTTTAGCTTGTCCAGCCACTGAGCTTCCAGAGTAAGTCAGGAAGTTGAGGGAGTCCTTCTTCTCCTTCAGGGACTGAAAAAGGAAGAAGTGAAAAACAAAAAACAAAAAAAACCTTTTTAAAAAAATTCCTGGAACTTACTGCCTGGAAAAGAAACTCAGACTAGTTCAGATGGTATGGTAAAGGTCATTTTAAGGGAGATTTCCAGTTACAAATAGGGGTGTTATGTCCATATATGAAGAAAAATATGAAAAGCTTAGCAGATGTCTTTTTGTGAATAGGCAAAGGAGACTAGAAGTTTCCTCCCATTTTGTTATTCAGACTCATTTTCAGAGATAGAGAAACACAATTTGTGGCTGGTTCTTAATAACCTTTTGGCAAGGGTTTCAGATTGCTAGGCCAAAGGCATTTATTTGTTATAATTTGAAAAGTAATTGAAATAACTTTGGCTAGGGTAATTAATAATTACTTGGGTAAATGATTTTTTTTTTTTTTTTTGTCATATGGCCTGCATTTAGTAATAAAGTTAACCTGTACAGACTGAGAGGTGGGACAGGTTAGGAAAAGATTCAAGTTTAGCTTGAGTTTTTAAGTTAAGGATATTTGAACTGGTCATATGGCAAAGGAAAGGAAAATGCTTTATCAGTTTAAAACCAGGCCGTTCAGTGCTTGCTTCAGCAGCACATATACTATGAACAGGCAGTTTAGATGCAAATGTCTTTATTTTTATGTTTGTTCTTTTATATAAATGTTCACTAAATATATTTCTTGAGTTAAAGGGATTTGAAATGTGTAGAGACTGGACATGATAAAAGGAGAGCAATTAACATTATGTTTAGCCAGGAAATGTTTCATATGGGGAGAAAAATGATGTAGTGGCCTAGAACAAAGCCTGTTGTTACTTGAGTGAAAGTGAGGCAAGGCAAAGAGTTGGAGTTTTGTAGTCAGAGTAGTCAAATATTCATAGGTCTCCTTTTCTTCCTCCTTGAAATGAAAGTTTAAAAGCCTGCCTAAAAAAGTTAGTGTGAGGCACCTAGTAGCTGCAGCTCATTGTTTTTTCTTTGACCTCCCTTAATGGCTTGGGAATTATTTGGGTGCCAGAAACAAAAAACCATTTGAATTAGTTTATTTAAAAAGGCATTTGTCATAAGGTTGAAACACTGCCTTTAAAGTCCATTGTGTGATCTCTGTTCATTGCTCTGGAAACCAGAAACTCTTTAGCCAGTTAATTTTCTGATTTTTCTCTGGGAACACGTGGTCTTAGTTCTCTGCTAACTGTGCATATTGCGGTTCTTATTGTCCTTTAAGAAGGCCTTGGTTTCTGCTTCACTTTGGTTTGCTTGAGCACCAGTACCCACCTCATTTTGACTTTGCATCAAGTATCTGCAAATCTCAGTTCTAAATTTATATGACAAAACCTGATTGGCCAACTTTTTACTTGGAGTGGGTAGAGGGTTTTTTTTTTTTTTTTTTCTTTCTTTTGCAGAACCAGGTATTGAACTGAGGCCCTTGTGCTTGCCAGGGAAGCGCTTACTCCACTGAGCCATCTCCCTGCCGCCCCCTCCCCCCCAGTTTGTTTTTGGTGAGGTAAGATAAGGAGCCTCTAGGGAGAAGACTTAACATGTATCTCAGTTTATAGGGTTTCACTTCTGAGACTACTATAAGATGTTCTTTAAGAAAAGGAGTGTGAAGGAGGAGGAAATGAGGGGGTACCTTTGTTGTACTTTAAACATTTTGTAGTCTGAGTTCTTCAAAATTAGTACTACATTGAATTTACTCTCTGCTTGGTAGTGATTTAAGTGGATCCATTGGTCTCTTTCAGGACAGATTCTCCTAGATGTGTGAGTTTGGGCAAATTAGTTGTATGATTCATGCCTTAGCTTCCATGTGTGCAAAATGAGTATAATAATAATAACAACTTTGTTGTGAGAATTAGGAATTCACATATGTAAAGCAGTTAACAGGGCCTACCTGGCACATGGCATTGCAATGAAAGGAGTATGGCCTTGATATTATTGAGTAGGCCTCAAGTGTGAGGTCCTGTGAGCGGGACTCTTGAAGTGATTGGAATTGATTACTTTTCCATCTCTACCTTGAGAAAGGTAGAAGTGTAGTGCTAACTACTTATTTGAGACTGTTTCTTGACTTCAGTAACATTAAAGTCTTCTAGATTCTGGCACCTTCTTTGCAGACTGCATTAAATAAATTAGATTTTTTCCATTTTTTGTTCTTTCCTAATTAATCCCTGGGATCAACTTTTGGGCTTTGTATATGTAGATGATTCTTAGAGTAGTAATTTAAGTTCTGACCCTAGTGCAGTGAAACTTGTTGAAAGCTTAAAAAATAGGGCAAACACAAACACCTCCCCTCAGATGTAGGATCAGGTGCAGGGTGAACCTTTCTGGGTGTTGTAGTGTGACAGAATACACCCATCTTTCAGCTGCTTATGGGCAAAGATCAGCCTTTGCTGGTCAGGGGCAATGCCCTCCTTATCTTGGATGTTGGCCTTGACATTCTCAGTGGTGTCACTGGGCTGCACTTCGAGAGTGATGGTCTTGCCAATCCTCACACTTTTCAAAATACCTTATATGTACAATTACTTAATAGGTTTTGTGTAGGTATATAAGTATTTCCAAGCACTGGACTGTCTGTAAAACACTTCTGTTCACACATTCCTGCTACAGGCTCAGTAGAATAGAAGTATATTTGCAAGGGTATCATAAATGGACATGGAGCTACAGAGAATGTGAACATTTTTTTGGTCAGAAATGGTCATATATATGGGTTATGTATTAAGATCAAGAATTTAAGTTTTAGACAGCATATTTACCTTGAAAGCACAATCTTAGGGTTTTGATTTTGTGTGTATGTGTATGTTTGAATTGTGTTTATTGTTGTACAGTGAGTATTTGATTTAGCAACCTTTTATGTTTAGTGTTTATCAATTAGGTCTATGTTGATATTTTAAATATCAGTGGTTGATTGGGCTGTAAGGTGGTTTTACAATGAGTCCCAACCTGGAATGTAATTGAAAGAATAACCTCTGTAATGGATGTTTGAGAAAACAAATGTGGCAAGATAAATAATCCTTGTATTAATTTTTAAAAAGTCATTATGTAGGTGGCCCAGTTTTTTTGTTTGTTTGTTTTGTTTTGTTTTGTTTGTTTTGCGGAACCGGAGATTGAACTCAGATCCCTGCATTTGCCAGTCAAACACTTATCCGACTGAGCCATCTCCCCGGCCCCCCAGTTTTTTTTAATGATGTCTTCCATCTAATACCTCTTTGAATTTCACTTTTTTTTTTTTTTTTTTGAGGAGCCGAGGATTGAACTCATGAATTTCACATTCTTGGTGAGATGTCCCTTCATTTAGCAGCTTTTTAGTTCAATAAATAATAGTGGTTTGTTGTGGGTATGGTGTTTAAGGAATACAGAAATGAATAAGCCATTGGCCTTAGAATGTATACTCTTGAGAGCAGGGACTTTTCACTATTGTGTTGGAATAAAAAAAATTAGACAATTGTTGAATGTTTAATCTTAATATTTACAGTCTAATGTAGGGCATAGACTTCTATACATTTAACTGTTATGTAAGTAACTGTAGTATAACATGGTAAAATAAGGCAGTGACAGTTGTTTGTTAATTTTTTTTTTTTTTTTGATGGTTTTGTTTCCCAAAGGACATTTAGCAGTATTTAGAGTTTTGGTTCGTATAGCTAGGTGAGCATTGCTGGCATCTAGTGGGTTGAGACCAAGAATGCTGAAAAATGTTCTACCTATTTAGCATTGACACCCGCCCAATAACAAAGAATGACATTTTGGGTCAGTAATGCTGAGCTTGAGAAACACTAAAGATAACAGCAAAATGTTTATTGTGCATTCAGGAATGAGGTTTTCAGAAAAAGTAAGAGGGCAGAAAT